TGATGCCACTACTGTCCAGAATTTACTCATGATGGGGAGCAGAGAGGGAGAGAGGGAGGTGCCTGTCTCTTCTTTCTGGTGTCCGGTAATAACAAATGGCTTAAAGTTTTGTCAGGGAAAGTTCAGGTTGGACATCAGGATAAAGTTCTTCACTGAGAGGGTGGTCAAGTACTGGAACAAGCTCCCTAGGGAAGTGATCATGGCTCCAAGCATGTTGCTGTTCGAGAAGCATTGGGAGAATACTCTTGGATTTAGAGCTTTTATGTTGCCCTGCATGGAGTTGTACTCAATGATGCCCATGGGTTCTTTCTATCATTCCAAACTGTAGCCTGATTCCAAGTTTTTAAGTCTCTGATATAGTGGGGTGAAGAAGAAAATGGCCAAAATGGTAATATGCAGATTTTGGTCTTTACTGGGTTAATCAAAACTGGGGTGGAAGGAAAGAACACAGGGTTTTAATGAGTTTTTTTTGTTCTGCTTGAGTGTACCCATAAACATATGCAGGTGAGGTAAGCCTAAGACCTTTTGAAGTAAGCTGGTTATTTTTCTTGTAGTTTAGATATCATGATCAAACTGCATATAGGAGGCCAGCATGCAGGTGGAATTTTACCTGCTTCTAATGTGAGCAATCCAGAGTTTACTTACTTCTTGTTTCTTCTGTGAAGGTGACTTTGGTCCACTTCTTACATTTCTCATTTCACTACTAAGATTGTCAATGTTTTTTACCTTCACTGCCTAGAGCTGGAGAGTTCCTCAAATATTATTTTTATCGCATGCGTTTCCACCCGTATCTCTGAATTTGTGTGTTAGAGCGCTTCAAGGGCAGCTTTCCAGGCTGGAGACTCAGCTGTCATTCAGGTGCAGAGGACACTTAATCAAGCTGCTGAGCGGGGTTCAGCATGTGCACAACGTGAAACCATTGCACAGGCACTGCTGCGTTGTCCCTGTGTGGAAGATAGGGAAATATTTACCCTGTGGCCAAGAGCTCTGGATACAGAGAAGAGATCTTTGTGGGAAGAAGTCTGTTATTTGCAGCTCAAGAACATGCACAGGCTTAAAACCAGGGCTGTGGCCATACAACCCTCTAATTTAATGCAATTGCAGAGGTTGGGGACCTCTTAAAATAATAGTGCAAACGAAAGCTGGGTTTTGCTAATGCCAGCTACAGGCAAGGTCATTTTCTGAGGATGGCATTACTGGAAAAATTAAACAAGAGCGCCGTTGGACACGGCAAAGCTCAAGGGACAGGTTTGTGGGAATACTTGCCCATTGAGTGCAACAGTACAGCTGCCCTTCCTGATGCTGCAGGGGAGACAGGCTCTTTTTCTCCCTTCTTCTTGCTGAGGTTTTCAAGCAGCAATTGATGCAAAGGCTGATCTCAGCTTAATTTGCAACAGAAAACAGACCAAAAAACCTACAGGCAGAGATTGTCCTCTACTAAATGTTAAATGAAAATGAAGATTTGGAAGAACATATACTGGTGTATGTCTTAGACAAAAATATCTTCTGCTCACAAAGTATAGGACAATATTTTCCCCTTCCCTCCCCTACCCCCCAAAAAAGGAAAAAGAAAAGACAGCTGCCCCTGCCCCCTTGAAGTGTGAAGAAAAAGACACACTGAAGTGGGGTTGTGCTGTGGGGGCAGTCCTTAACCCAAGCTACTGGGCAATACCATCTCCTACCTCCCAGTTTTGGGAGATTAAACAGTTTAGTGATGTGTGTGCTAGCCACACTGTGGTATTATCCAGCTGGGAATTCTTTTATCATTATAGATTTAATCACAAAGTCTGGTCTTGTACCCAAAGCACTAGCACATCCATCAAGATGGATTTTGCTCTCTATGGCTTTTTATTTTATTTTCTTGAAATAAAGACTGTATATTTGGTTTCATATTAGAAATCAGCTTTGAGAGAAGATGGATGTTTTTAGCAGACCTTGGTATTTTATGATATTTACAAGATGCAGGAAAAAAAAGTGACAATAGCTTTTCCCAGGTAGTCCAAATAGTTAAATGGGAGTTCTTTGTAGCTCCCTTGCAAAAGATGTCTTTTTTGTGAGGTAATTATGGATTTTCATGAGCACTCCTTGCTAATCGTGTTTAATGACACTAAACCCAAATCACATTATACTTATTTTCCAAGGGCTGTGTTGGAGACATGCTGCATTAACCCAAAAGAACAAAGCACGGAGATGACAACAACAAGAGTAAAAAGGAAACAGTAGAGAAGAGGAATCACTTGTGGCTCTATTTCCTGCACAATGAGAGTGGCACAGCACTAGAGGAGCAGCATTGGTAAAATTAATGATAGATAACATAGTCCTTCAATCTTCTGGGAATCTAAGGCACCCTAGAAAAACATTTGCTCTAATTTTATCATCTTTATAGCAAAGTCTAGCTGATTTAACTTACAGAAAACCCGTGTAACATTGGGTTGTGTTATTTTAGTATAATGTGTTAATGCTTTTTTATTGTGAAGTCTAACCTTCAGTTATAAATCAATAATAATGGAGTCAGCTTCAAAAGAAAGGGTTATTTTGACACACCCCCACCCTCCAACCCCTGCCAAACCTCCAGACCTCAGTGTTTTAATACAATTTGCATGTTTTTCTCATGTCTGGATAATAATTTTGCAAAGCCTGTCCATATAGTCTGTGCTTTAAGTAAAGAGTTGATAGGAATTTCACTGATTTAAGGAAGGGGTATGATCATGTTGGAAGTATCTTAACATTCATACATGGAGCAGACTTTTGCATATATGAATCTACTTAGTCCTGGGAAGGAAACAAGACAACACACTGACATATTTATATCAATTTTTCCATTTTGTTGTGTGCACTTATTACTTAAAAACCTTCCTTGTCATTCCTAATATGTATTATGGGGGATAACATAAATCACCTTGTGAATTTCCCTCTGCTATAATTTTACTTTCTAAGCTCCATAAAACACCACGAGCACTTTGCCTGTAATTAGTATGTGAGTTATTTGTGGTATTGTAAAGCATTAACCAACTTGTAGCTGTTGTCTCTTGGCACTATGCATCTCTCACAAATGGGGTTGTGGTCTAAGATATCATCAATCTTTTCTTTGTGGTTCAGAAAAGGAATCTATTTTCTTTGATAAAAGACCCATTGGTATTTGTGATCTATAAATCATTCTTTCCAAAGAAACCCTTCGAAATACCAATTCAAGGTAGTCTCACAGAATATCGCTTTATAGATTTTTCTTAGGATAGAAAATAATCCTTGTGCCTATCAAGAAGGAAGATCTCTACTATTTTTCACTGAATTTTGTAACTTTAGAAGAAGTTCTCTGAAGGCCTAATATTGCCATCCCTAATCTTGTCCTGCACAAAGTTAGAGCTTTTTTGTCAAAACAGCATTTCTATAATGTCCAAGTACGAGCTGACTGAATTATAACCAGGTCCATATAAGACAGCATTCTTTACAGCATCGTAAATCCTTAGCCCTGTTAGTGAGAAACATTGGTGTGGGTTTTTTTGTTTGTGTGAGGGTGTGTGTGTTTGGTTGTTTTGGTATTATGGGGTTTTTGTTGCTTATTTTTTCCATCCCTATAAAACTGCTTTGCAGACCCTTCTGAATTAGCCCTTTTAACAGAAGCCTCCCATGCAACTAATTTTGAACATATCTTATGTTCTGTGAGAAAATACTTGCTATTCTCTGACTTTGTTCTGGTTCTATCTGCCTGTTTAAAGACTATAAGCCAGTTCTTGATAGCTGTGCAGTCCTTGGTGAAACAGCTGAAGAGGACGTGGCCAGATGTCAGTGTCATTATGCCACGACACTCCTGCAGATGGCCTCCTGGTTTTGTTCTTTGTTTTTATTCTAAACACATTAATGTTTTCAAGAGTTTTATTACTCTGTGAAGAACAGAAACTTTTCTTCATCTAATTTGAAAATTTCATCCATAACTTTAAGGAAAATGCCACACAGTGCAAAAATAACTGAAAAAATCGCCAGGGGAGACAGCAAAGCAGTCATAGGATGCCTGCCTATTGGTGGTATAAGAAATGAGCAGCACTTAAATGTGCAGCGTTTATAATTTCTTGGAGGCCTTCAAGAACCTGCTGTACAAACTAAATAATAATAATAAACAACGTAGCGCTTCTACATAAATAATAATTTCTGCTTCTAATCTACTGGTTTAATTCCTGTGGTGGCATATTGTTTGCAGTATTTATTTCAAGGTACTGCTATGGAGCTCTACTGTGCAAAGGAAATGAATTTATCTGCGTGAAACTACAATGTTGGAGAGGCATTATGTGGCTGTATTTACAGTTTTCTTCTGTTTAGTGATTATACTGTATCTTTATTTTTTTCCCCTCCCTCAATTTATCTTTTGGCTGGCTCAGAGCAGCAGGATATTTGGTGTGGGCTGTGAAACAGATTTAAGAAGTCAGAGGTACTTTTAATCCAGTCCTAACTTCTTCAGTCTGTAAACTGCCAGTGAAAATATTATATTTCTTTTTTTTTTTTTTTTAATAGCTTTCTTGCAGGGATATCATCAATCTGTACTTCAAACATTTCCAAAGAAATGAGGACAGTCATTAGAAGAGGGGAGAAGGGTGATAGAAACCTACTGAAATTGCATCCTTAGTAAAGCTGAGCACCATAGTCCTAAAGGGTGAGAAAGGGACCAAGATTTGAATCTAGCTGGAGGCAACCCAGGAAGGATGGGGTGCTATGGCAATCGTTTTCCTCAGCCTATATTTCCTGCTGTGAGGAAAATGTGACTATTGAAGGCTCTTTCAAAGAGCAGGGCCTTCACCACACAGTTGTCTCATTTAAAACTGTGTAACAAACAGCAAGAAACCCCTTAGATGTGACTCTAGGATGAGAGAATAAAAGAGAAAAATCACAGTTCTATTTCTGTTCACTTGTCCTTCACGACATTAGAAACGGGGCGGTTGTTTTTTAGATTTCAGTAAGTCAATTATTTCTTTGCATTTTACTCAGCTTATATTATGGGTGGTGTCAAGGTAACCAACAACTACCAAAGCTTGGTGCTGTTCCCATCAGTTTTCTCATCCTTAAAAAAGGAACTGAACTGCTTTCATGAGACCCAGCATCCCGAGCTGATCGTCCAGAAGATCCAGAACAACCAGCTGCAAGGGCTGGCTCAGCAGCTGGTTCCTGGGGCCTGACAGGAAGATGAGCTTTCTGGTGCTTGGCATTAGACAAAGAAAAAGATTAAATCTCCTTGGCCTGCAGCAGGATGTTGGGGAAGACGGTTGAACTCAGGAGTGTTCTTAAAATTTGCTTTTAAAGAAGCTTTTTGCTTTTCCTTATGGAGCCAAGATACTAGTTCATTTATTTTCTCTAGTTAAGTCAGACCCATAGAATTACTGTGGAAAGCTACTGGCATCAGCTTCGTGTTTGGCTGCCATAAATAAGGAAATCCATATCCTCCTTGCCAGTTTTTCAGCAGAACCAACCTGCTTGTTCCTGGGCAGCTGGGTGAATTGGATTTTGGAAGGATGCTTTGTGTCTTTGAAGTCTTTTCTGGCTAAATACCATTAATCTTCAGAGTGATTCAGTTCTAAAGGTAATTTGTGGCTTTCTTCTTTTCTTTAAATCCTTTAAAGGCATGATATGGAAAAACTTCTTTGCTCAAAGATAATCCAGTATAATTAGAACAGTGTCACTCAACTTAGTAAAGTCCTTTATGCATGTTTTTTTTTTTTCCCTGTCTTGTTAAAATTTAAATCCATGGTAGATGGGAAAAGGTGTGATTTATTGTTCATTTATTCTCTCTTTCCCCCTACACTGTATTCCTGAAACTATTTAGCACTTTTTGGTTTTGTGACTATTAGGATGTGATATTGAGCACAGTTTCTTGCATGAGGGGCTATTACTAGGGTCTAGTGTTGGTGTTTCCCCATTCCTACAGTGAAGGAGACAGACTGGAGTGAGGGATATTAATATGGTGAGGTGATGGACCATGAGACATATTGGGGAGACTGTAGGTCATGGGTTGGTTTAGCCACGAGGTGGCCAAGGTGGGGAGCCAGGGATCTATTTGCAGCCTTTCCGTCTCCTAATGGAGGCTGTAGGGAAAACGGGGTTTTCTCAGTTGTACAGTTCAAGAATAAGAAGCAGTGGGCAGAAATAACTGCATTGGTAATTCTTAGGGGATTAAGGGAAAATTCTTCACAACAAAGGGTGCCCAAGCACAGGAACCAGGCCCAGGGCAGCTGTGGAGTTTCTAACCTACAAGACTTTCAAATCTTGATGGGTGGAGGCCCTGCGAAACCTGGTCTAATTTTGACCAGGGGATGGGCCTAGATGATCAGTGGATGTCTCTTCCAACCTGTGTTTTTTTCTATGATTATCAGAATAATGATTTTTCCTTCTTTTAAAAAGGCTAGCTGCAGTGCTATTTTCAGCTAATATGTTGTTTTTGCTGGTATATCTGCTGTGAATCCTTCTGCTCCTCCAGGAGCTGAATGTGGCTTGTTGATCTCTGAACTTCAGCTTGAGCTGTGTCTTTCCAGGCTCTGTGAAACAGGTTGTTCTCATTTCCAGTGCCTGGGATGATAAATAAACTGGCTTTTCTCTGCTTCAGTACTTCATCTTGTTGTGGAAAACTTTATTGCCCAGATACAGCTTTTGTCTTCCTTCTGCAAATATCTTGGGTTGGTGAAAAGCTGACTGAGATGCCGTGGGGCACTGTTCCCTTCAACTTTCTGATCGCTTCAAATTTTATTATTTGAATTAATAAGATTTAAAATGCTATAAATTAATTATAATTTGTGTTACTAAATGTGGCATTCTCTCATGCCTTGTGTAACCATGCTATTTAGTAGATTTTAACAGCTATTTTACAATTTTTAACTATAGAAGGTATAAAAGTATTTTAGCCAGCTCTGAGTTGGCAGCATATCTATTTTCTAAGTATTTTATGTGGTTTAATTTCCTTATTCTTTGGACTTGTCTGTTATTCTTGAATGGCTTCTTTAAGTATCAGACTTTATTCTTCTATGCATGTAATAATAAAACCATCTTTTAGGTTTTTTCAAGGATTTTACTGACACTTTCACCACTTGATTCTTGGAGACTTTTATTGCCAGATCCATAATGATTCCTTGTCTGTGTAGACCACATTCTTTGTCAGAAATTGCAATTTCTTACAAATTGCTGATCAACTGCACAGGGTTTTGCTCACTTTCTATTTGTGCTGGTTTCCAAAAAATAATAAACAAACTTCGACTATTCCCCATTTGCCATCACTGTAGTCTGCTCTCTGTTCAAAGTTCAGCTTTTTTACTTCTACAAGCCTTCAGTATTCCGTTTGTTCCATGTGGAACAACTTGTGGATCACAAGCCTGATCTTGCCTAGAGGATATGTTTCCAGGACTTCAAGAGTTACCTTTCACCTCACAGTCTACAAGGAGGAACTTTCCCTCTACCTTCATGACAGGGGGTGGTGGTGATGCAGGGCACCTGCCTAGATTGCTCACTTGCCTAAGGAATTTAATAGAAAGCTGTTATTTGCAGACATTTCTCCTGCTGCGTTTGAAGGACAGAGGAAGGCAACTGAGTGTTCTCAGGAGCCTGTGAAGGCAGTTTAACAGCAGGCGGTCATGCAAAAGCCTATCTCTGGGACAGGAGAGGGGAGGTCTATAAAAATATATGTCTTCATGGTCCAGTCCAATTCTCATTCTTAGTGGTCTAAAAGAGTCCAGCTTCATCTTGATGTTCTGAAAGCTCTAATTTTAGTTTGACGAAATATTGGGAAATGTTAAATAATCATGCTAAATGCCAAGTGAAATGTTCTTCCTAAGTGGTTTGAACTTAGAAACATTTTTGTCATTTTGATTGTCCTAACTCGAAGTCCGTTTGAATTGCTCCTGGGAGTTCAGGAATTGCCGTAAACATCTAGATGCAGGGTCGTCTCATAATCTCTCCAGGAGTTCAGGGAAGAATACAGCCACCTGTAAGCTGGTTCTGAAGTGTGCTGGCTCAGTTCACTTCATCAGATGTGATTAAATCCTTTACACTTTTAAATGGTTACCATGTGTGCTTACATCACCCTTTATAATCTTGACCTAAACCTTCCATGGCAAGGCTTTTCACAGCTCAACCTGCACTCATTAAGGCTTTTTTTTTTGTAGATTATAATTGAAGTTTTCAAAAACATGAAATCTGATTGCCACAGCTGTGTAACTGAGGTAATGGAGATCTTTAGAGAGGACGTGTTGGTGAAACAGAGGGTTAAGGAGCAGGACATCAGTAATCCATCAAAGAACTAAGCACAGGCTATGGAAGGCTTGTATGGCTCTGTACAATGAGAACAAGTGGCTGGGAAAATTCAGTGTAACGTCTCTAGGTAACAGCTAGTCACTCGAGTTTGTGAGCATGTTTTTTGCTGTGGAAAGAATAATTAGCCAAATATACAATGTATTGTAGATGACAATCAATAAAACCTTGTGCAGTACATGATACTGATAATATACACAGGATGTAGCCCAGTTTGGGCTCTTTGGATTCAAAGAGAATGAGTACTCTGGGTACAATTTCTAGTTGTTTTATTACCAATGATGTGTTTATTATTTTCCAAATATAACAATATAAGCTCAATATTAAAACATGACAAACTAAGGTTGACAGAATTAGATTATTTGAAAGAGATGGGATAAGAAAGGTCTTTGAGAGTGAAACGATCGGTGGGTGATCAGTTGTATTCTGTTAGCAGATTTTATTTTTTTAAATTTAAAACTTATTGCTGTCTTATCTTTTTACAGCCACGTTTCTTAAGGGAAAATTATTTAAGTACCAACTCTATTTAACCACTGTGTTTGTTGTGTGTATATAGAGGCAAACATCTTTCAGCTGACAAGGAGCTTTTCTAAGATGTCATTTGACAGGGAAGAAGCTTGGATTTTTTTTCTCCTATGCAGGGTGGGAAGTGCTGACATTTAAGCCAGTAGAACTGCTCTGATGCAAAAATCCTTTATATATATTAAGAATCAAGGTAAAGGAATTCTTTCAGTTGCTTGGACCAAACTGGTTCCCTAGTTTTGGATCCATTTGCTGCTTTGCTTTATGTTATCATTGTTCTGCAATCCGGCTTTGGTATCTGAGAAATTTCTGGAGCTCTTGCAGATTTTGTTTCAAGAAACTCTTCCTCAGTCTGAGTGGGTGTTTCTTATAGACTTCCAGTTATATTCACAAATAATTTGTCTGCATGTATATGCCCCCACTGGCTCTGTGCCTCAGCATACACCATAGTATTACAGATGAATAAATTAAAATGCTTAGGCATTCATAGCTGACATTTGTTCTGTTTAATTGAAATAATTTCTTCACCTTTTAAAGTTAGCTTTTTATGACACATCTAAACTTTGGAACATTCTCTTTTCAATTATTTATAAAGCTTACAAGTTATTTCTTAATTTCTTGTTTAGTTGTCCCAGATTGTGTTTTTATGTGAGCATGTAGCTGTACAAGAACATGCCCCTCATCTTAAATAAAGCTGCCTAATGTCTAGGTTTCTAGGAAATGCATCTTCTACTGGCTATAGAATGAATGTAGGACAAAACAGGTCTGTTAAAATGCATAGACCAGAGTGGTGTTATGCTTTTGAAGTAGATGTAATTTTAATCAGTCTGTGTTTCTTTGTGTTGTAACCTGTCCACTGCTGTAAGTAGCCTGGCATCTGGAGCACTGCCTAAAAGAGGATTTCTTTGTAACTCAGCTACATTGCAATGACAGAAAATGCAGGACACCCTCTGTCTTCACTTCAGCTTGTTCCAATTTACTGAAAGCATGGAGGTTTTTGTGGCTGAACCTAAGCTTGACTGCTTGAACTTACCGATATATATGCCTTCTCTACCTTGAAACATCCATTCTGCCAGTCTGTAATTGAGCTAGAACAGAGAAGGAAAGGAGGCTAAGGGTTTATTGACAAAACAGCATGTTCTGTGTTCACAAGCTTCAGCTCAGGCTTGTATTATCAACTGCAACATTGCTTCCCCATATATCTGCTCTCTGTCTGTCTTAATAATTTTGCATTCTAACCTCTAACAGTGCCTTCACTTGTGTTGATATCAGCAGGGTCACTCTGTAAATGAGTCTGAAGAAACATTTCTTTTTTTTGTTGTGTTTGAAAGGGAAGCATAAAAGACACTACTGCAGCATAAATAGGTTTTGCCTGAGTGCAGAAAAGCACGAAGAGTGATGTGTTTTTACATATGTATTTTACTAGATTTTTACCTCTGTAAAGTTACTGAGGAAGAACAACCTGGTTAAACTCATTTCTGTGTGGGAGTCCTCTGTTCCTGAGACAGGCAAGAACTTGGTTTTCTCAGGTGGAGAGGCTTTTTTTCCTCCCTGACTTTTTCAACTTAATTTGTTCATCCAGCTACTTGAGAAGGCAGAGATAGCATTGATGTGATTTGCCAGGCTGAGTCTTCAGATCTCCAAATTTCTCTTTTTGCTCGCATTGAGGTTTGTACCTCTCTGGACCCCTAGTTTGAGGCTTGTGTTTTCACAAGAAGTGCAGAAGTTCTCTCAGTTTTTGGAGCTGTGTTCTCTCTAAACAGG